TTGTATGCGTACGTATGAAACGTGTGCAATCTCACAGTTACGTAATTTCAATTCATGTTTCCTTTCGTACGTAATATAGATATATTTGTTGAAAAATTGAGGTCCTCACTAGATGTACAAATGGAACGGATTTCATCTAAGATTGACCTTGATTTCCGTAAAACCCTAACTTAAATAAGATCTACAAAAGATCATCTTTTTAAAGAATCGCCTTTTTTGCATGTTTTAAAAGCATTAAAATATTGAAATGAAGAACTGAAAAAATGCATTGTTCAATTTTATGCAATTGTTAATTTTCAGGACTGCTAAATAGCTTCATCTCATAGCATTCTTCAACCAGGCAAAGATTTTTTGTAACATATACGAATAACAGTTAAAAATATGAAGCATGAAATGAAAGTAAAAGCTTATGAATTGACATCGAATGTGAAGACTTGAATAGGCAAACGCGTTGCGCAGTAGGGCGGGCGAAACTCGCGCCCTGCACCACCCGCACCCCTTGCCCTGTTTGGACCATTTCGTTACAAAGAATTACCCGAAGCGTTTGCTTTGACGCAGTAAAGCAACATAAGATTCAACTCGTACAAAGGTAGGTTTACCCTTAACTTAAAATATTTCATCTGATTTATAAAGAATTAATTTAGTATTTGTTTGTGGTTACATCAATAGATGAATTATCTAGAAATTTAAATATAAAGCAAAATATTAAAAGATAATCGTCATACAATTTTAGTTTTGCATGTTATTTAATTTGATTTTTATAACTAAAATAACGTATTGACAAATCGTGATTATGTAATATTTGTATGAAAAGTAGAGCAAAGGAAATAGATGGTTCTGGGTATAAAAGGATTGAGGTCAGCGACCTTAAATTGGTCGATATATCGTGAGTTTTATAATGCTTCTCGTGCTTTTGGTATAGTTTAAATATATATCGTTAGTGAATGAAAAATAACTTTACGTAAGTTGTAATTTTTAATTACTATCTTATTCGTTCTAAATAAACCTCAAAGTATTTTTGTATAATTGTTTATGTTTTTAAATTACGATATGTAAAGTTAATAGATTTCAAATTACGTAGTAATGAAGATCTTAGCCAACTGTTATGAATTCATTATTATGTTTAAAACACATTTAACAGGAAACAAAAATCATTCTTAGAAATTAGGAGCATTACAAAAAATATTAATTGGGCAATATGCAGTATTTTTGAGTTGGTGTAGCGACAGCAGAACAAATCGAGTCGTCGCATTGCGCGGTCGTATTTCTCACATATCGTAGCGCTAAATAGTTCTAGTAATACTGGTTTTAGTACTATTGTGTCTAGTGATACAAAAGGAGGATTAAAAGAATAGAATCTCAATCTAATTATCTCTCGTACAGCAACAAACAAGTAAGTTTTAATTGTGAGGCATACTTGATTTATTTTTATGTTTGTTTTTAAATGTGACTAGGTCAATTGATGACTTCAAAAGATATTTTATAACACTAACAATTCTATCAAAGTGTAAACTAAATTTTTAACATAGTAGATAGTTAATGTTCACATAAATTGAAAATTGAAAATACATTTATTTTTATATTTAAATTAAGAGAAGCACGTTATAAAAGATAAAAATTATTGTTTATCATAAAAGCTTGTCATTACACTGGTTGGGAGAAAATTTCAAAACATTGATTTTTTTCAATACATGAAACTTCTAAGATAGTAGCGATTAATTTTTTTTCGCGTAACAAAACACTTCATAAGAATCTGTTAGTTCATGTTTTATGCTCTATCTCTTAGAGGAAAAATCTCTCGCCCTCGGAAACCTTACGTAATGAGTGGCCCATTTATATTACTGTTGACCCAGTTTTTTAAATTCACATGTAACATGTTGTAAATGATTTGTTTAAATAACTTCAAATCAAATATTTATTTCCCGTGTAGGTTATAACCTCAATTCCCATTTCCCACATTACGTTCTACAAAGTGACGAAAATACAAGTAGGTCAAAGATCTGCCGCCCACTGCACTGGGTCAACGACTCGTGGCAACGTTGTTATGTGTACATATTACAAAACGCCTTATCTAAATTCAATAACGGTAGAGTTGCTTCCAATGTATGCTGTTTCCGAATAACTCCTTAATTGAATAACTTTTTTAATCAATACATAAACTAAACAACGAAAAACTAAAAAAAAAAAAACATTTATCACAATGAAAAATTTCGCATGTTAAAAGAAACCGTACCGGCACAAGTACGAGCCCTCGTCGACAGTCGCTGTACAGCTCACTGTCACTGTTCAGACACAATGTATACTTCCTGACCTGGAACATTACTGTATCCACGGGAATTCTCTTAAATGTGTGTATGTTGTATTAGATAAAACCGGTAGGTTAGCCTTTAATATTGTATCCATAACGGTAAAATAAGCCTATCAAAATCTAGTATTTATGAAAATACTAGAATTTGATAGCGAATTAAAAAAAAAATATTAAAAGTTGCTTATGTTAAGGGATAATGCAGCTTTCTAATGGCAAAAGATTTTTTTAATCGGTCCAGTAGATTTAGAGTTTATTCAATACATACAAAAATACGAATCTTTCCTTTTTATGTAAGTATAGAAATAGGTGAACAAAATACTACTGAAAGTGTAAGCATATGCCCGTTACAAATGAAAACGGCAAATGTGTGACTTGTATAGCAATGTTACAATACTCGCATTATGATCAATCTACAAATATCACCCCGTTGTGGGTCACGGGCGACGGCTTTGTGCGTGGTGACGTGCTCCTTCTAAAGTTTTATTCATCTATTCATTCCAATGTTGTAAATGTTATCGGCTCGACCTATCTCTTAGTAGTTGGTACGACTAGTCTTGTACAAGGCTACAGATTAAATCATATACACACAATTGTGCTAAATGCAAATCTGTAATCCCATCTCATCTATTCTATTAATGGGTACAGGAAGTACTTTTATATTAGGTTGTAAATTTTGTATTCTTTGCTTTTCAGAATGTCTTCACCGGGTATCAAGTCTGTAGAAAAACAAAAAGGGCTAAGCAAGTCACCAACACATTCGACACCGGAGCGTCCACTCTCGCAGAACAAGTTTAACAAGCCGACCATGTCAACTTCTGAACCAGACGGTCCCGAGTTATTCAGCTGGTTTCGGGTATTCAAACTGGCTGATCTGATGATGAAACAAGGCTGTTAGACTTCAAAGAGTTATTGGATCACTAATGTTTACATATGGATAAATAACGCAGGTTACAGCATATCATGTCTCGTCTAAATGTGCATTTAGTAGCGTTTTGCGTAGTGTTTAGGGGTCAAAAACAATAGGAAACCAAAACATTCTTCCTGTCAACTAGATACTTCCATAACTTGCCAATGGCAGAAGTCGAAATATTTTACTATATTATTTTGAATATCAATTAAAACATCATTCATCCACTTGCCCTTATCCCTTATGGAGGGTCGGCACAGTATGTGCTGCTCTTCCATACATCTCTATCAGCCGTCATATCTGAATCCACTCCTTTCTTAAGCATATCCTCTTTCACACAATCCATCCATACTTTCTTCGGTCTTCCTCGTCCTTTGTAGCCCTCCACATTCAATCTTAACACTTTCTGGTTTATGTCCCCATCATTTCGTCGCATAACATGTCCATACCACGCTAACCTTTTGCTTCTCAATTTCTCCACCACTGGCGCTACTTTCAAACTTCCTCTAATGTACACATTCTTAACTTTATCCATTCTTGTCACACCACACATCCATCTTAACATACGCATCTCAGCCACATGCAATCTCTTTTCATCCGCAACTTTGGTGGGCCAACATTCAGATCCATACAATACGACAGGTCTTATGATGGACTTGTAGATCTGTCCCTTAAGCCTAAGAGGCATTCTTGGATCACAAGTCACACCAGTAACCTGTCGCCATTTCATCCAACCTGCATTTATTCGGCTTTTTACGTCTCGGTCAACGCCACCGTCGGAATATCAATTAAAACATACGGCGGTAATAATAGTTGTTACTACTCAATCTTTAAATTTAGATTATCAGATGCTAATTTAGTTTAGTTTAGCACGTGGGTTATGTGTAGACATATGTATGTAGATTATGTTTTATGTATAACGTTTTAATAAGAAGCAAAGTTGATGAATTTTGTGTAGCAAAGAATTCTTTTTTATTAATCTTATGATCAGTGGTGTTACAAACGACACTTAGAACAGCTTACACTATAATAACATTATTCCTGCTTCGTCACCCTAATCGTCGTTTCCCTATTGAAATACATGTGGTCATTGTCTCCGTCTACGATACAAAATCAGTTGTTTTTATTTAAGAACATGAAGGACGACTGGTATTGTATGGAATATACAGCAGATGAAAAGCACTGTAAAGAACTATTGCACGTCGTGTTACCTCTACAGTAGTAGTAATTACTACTATGCACTGTGGAGGGCTATGGTTTCCGCCACTCTACGGCTAGCGCGTATTTTGCGTGAGGACAGGTCATGGATTACTCCAGCCAACCCAGCTCTCTGATGAACCGCAGCACACACACAAAGTGCATAGTAACTGTTATCTACTTTATGCTTCAAACTATTTTTGTTCATTCTAATTAAGGTTTCTTGTAGACCCACCGTACTTAGAATTATAAGTAAGGGGAATTGTAAGAACTGTTTTAAATGTTTTTTTTTATTTGTCATTTCTATTAGGATCATCTAATATGACTAAAATATTAATAAACATGACATTTCGGTCATTTAAAAACTATGTTTAATTTTCCCTTCCTTTTTACTGTAAATAGACTATACATACATATACAATAATAATACAGCCAAAAAAAACAACAAAAATATCGTAATAAATACTAAACTTGTATCATTCATTTAGCTTGTTTTATTAACTTTACCAAAAATTTAATGCAAATTTAAAATAATACGTAATGTTTTTAAATTATTTAAATATAGTTAAGGTGTAAAAATAAAAACACTTTTATGTAATGTTTTTTTTTTAATAGTATTGGTAGGTAGGAGGTACATAACACGCAGGAGTCTGGGCTTTTTGGATAAGGGAGTAAAGATACAATACTATTTTCATTATGTACAAAATATACAATTATATCTAGGTCCTAGCTTTTTAAACTTAAAGTAGAAATATGATCACAATATTTTTATTTTCTTATTCTCTGCTACAATTAAATTCAGTTAAAGCGGCGGCGGCGCGGGAATGCGGTCGATGCGATATTTCCGCGGAGCACTTACAGAGAATTTGGATATTGGATTCACACAGCCGATAGAAAATCCAAAACATCCTGACAATAACCACTGATTTGTTTTTACTACCCCAGGGCTGACTGGCTCTCTCTCTCTGTACATGCTCCGTGGATACAACTACTCTAGCGCTCACCGCACTTTTGCTGCACACTTGAGATCAAATGTTAATTTTACAATTATTTAAACTCTATCAACTCGCACACCGGCATCGGCCGCCTCCCCTAACTTGCCGCTGTTAAAGTCATCCCGTCCATAACTCATTCCCGAGTACAATTACACAAGTTATTGAGAGGATGACATTGCCCAATCTTAAATATAACTTTACTGTCTCTTCACTAAAACAATCAAGACACAGTGAAGTGGATTATTCTAAATTTCACTTTCGAGAACGGTTTGAAACAAAACTATATTATACTTCTCATATTGCTAATTAGGTAAACTCGTCTTTTATCTGCATTCATGGCTAACTCTTTTTAAACAAGAGAATTAGTGACAATTTTTCTTGATTATAGCCATAAGATTTTTTTTTATGAAAATATATAAATGTGAACATTAATTGACATTTGAGACAGTGTATAACATTAAGCGAATTTAAATGTGTATAAGACCGGAACCAGTGATAGCTTATGGCTGTCGGCTGTCGGCTGTCGCCTGTCGACTGTCGACTGTCGGCGGTCCTACACACAGATTCATTCGGATTGACGAAATGACGAAATCATACTCGACACCGATGCGAGACTACCGTAATGAATATAATTTATACAATTTGCTACCGCACAATCACACTATACGCGGTCTATAATCCGTAATAACCACAACAGTCTAAATACTGAACCGCTATCTGTGACGATTTATTTACACCGCTATCCTTTATAAGGAACCCAAATTATAATAAATAGAGTTTACATTCGGGCATCCACATCAGTTTTAGTAATAAAATTATGTTAAAAGTAATGGACGAAGTGACGAGTTCGTTAGTGCTCTTCCTAGCTAAGTCGAGAACCGTTTGCGACGGAAACATGACAAACAATATCATTTTTTTATATCTATAGATTAAATCCTAAAAAGAATATACATAACGTTACTTGTTTTGTTACTTTCTATACCGTACATATAAAATTACAATACATAAATACTTTGTACTTTATTTTATGCACGACAAGTGCGCCGCACATTTTCCAACTATATTAGGCGAACCGACATCTGCAGTCGGCGACAAGCCTCGCCTCGCCTGCCCGGCCTCGCCCGGCCGCGCCAGCTCATGACATACGACATATTCGAACAATTAACGTAAGCTTGTTACATAAGTTAATAATAAAAAAATAAACTATGATGTAAAAGTACACAATTTTCATAAATGACGACAAAAACTATAGTAAAGGTTGTTCCAGAGGGCCGCCGCCTGCATGCCGCAGCCCATCTCCCGCGCCGGGCGTGGCTCGGACGTGCGCGCGATTGTATAACTAGTTAGTAGACATCGGATGCAGACAGTTAAAACTTTATGAGAAGTACAATATTGTCAGTTTTTGCATTTCGCATTTTGCAGTAATATGGTCTGAAAAATTAGCCGATACAATATTGTCACTGTAGAAGTGTTTGGCAAATGAAACAATGGACGCTGACGTAGTGATCGATAGATGCGGAGGTATACCTGCACGGCCAAGCCAAACGCAAAAAAATGTTACATGTGCAAAAACAAACACCGTCGGAATTTCACTTAGCATGGAACGAACAGCTTGTATTATGATTATTTACAGTATTCTATACGATTGGATGTAAGGTTAAAGACACGGCGTGGGGCGCGTGATGCGCGTGATGCGCGTGAGGCGCGTGGGGCGCGTGGGGCGCGTGGGGCGCGTGGGGCGCGTGGGGCGCGTGGGGCGCGTGCGGCGCGAGGCAGCGCTCGGTCCCGACGCCGCCCGCGCGCCATCTTATTCATACTCCATAGAACTAACTACAAGCCTACTTTAAAAAGTCAGAATCACAGTTTATTTTCCACGTGTATTTTACTTATCAAATAAACATACCGTTTAACTATCGTTTTTACAAATTAACGGTTATCATTCGACCCGGTTATCGTTACCATTACCTACCGTAACGATTCTAAGTATTATAAACCGAACTTTAGTTATGGATAGATTCAGTATTTACAAAAATTTAAATTACTTTAGAGCTAGGCGCTTAAAACAAAATAACAATTTACACTAACGATTAAAAATGCTCGATAGATCGCCACTCATCTTATCGGAACCCAAAATTAAATATATTTTTAATTAACTGACTTTACTGTACCTTTAAATTTTTTAAACTCCGAATAGGGCCGAACCCAGTCGACCATAACAAAAGTATTTTACAAAGCTACACCTTACATCTAGCAGTGAGGGGCGGCGCACCTCGCTGCCACCTCGCTGCCCTAACGGAACTACCTAAACGAACTTTCACAACCTGGCCATATTTACAATGCTTATTCAAGTTCTCTTCCAAAGTTTGCAGCGGCGTCGCCGCTCGGTGTCAGTCCTTGCTCGTCGAGTGCGTCACGCGTGTGTCGCGTGTCTCGGCGTATCTCGGCGTGTCTCGGCATGTCTCGGCGTGTCGCGGGGTGTCTGGGCGTGTCGCGGCGTCGGCGTGTGCACGGGCCGCTCGCCTCAAACGGTAGCGATCACGATGAGGAGGTGGGCGATGTCGGCCACTCGGTGCATTAGGTCGGGTGCGATGCGATTCAGATTTTCATTCGCAAAGTCGCACGATGGGAATATGTGTACTGTGTACACGGCCTGCGCAAAATACAAATTATATAGTTTACTCAAAAATAATTAATTGGACTAAAACTAAACAGTAGAGTCGGCAAAAACTTAGCTAGCTTTTTAATAATTACTTCACCACTACAAGAATATACTTTTGGTCACCACACTTACTTTACTATTTAAAGAGTTAGCAAACTTGGTTAGCGGAATTAAAAAAAATAGCATTCCCGCGTGTAGCTACCTTCCAGTCAAAATCCCGTCAAAATCGGTCTACCCGTCCCAGAAATAGCAGTCCGGTCGCCATTTTGACAGCGCGGAATTTAAAAAATAGCCTATTTTCAAGTATGTTGGCGGAATGGAGTTTGGTTTTAACGAGCGCAGATGGGCGTAAAGGGCTACCTGGTGGTGTCCCGGCGGCGCCACGTTGACGATGCCGGCGGCCTGCTTGCGCTGCAGGTAGGTGATGAAGCCGCTGCTGAGGTTGTTGGACTGCTGCAGCACGTCCATGTGGTCGCGGCCGCACGGCAGCGCCAGCAGAATGCAGTGTTCGCTCTCCAGCTACAAACGAACCACATTCAAACATTACTCACCTCTACAACTAATATCAATGTTTTCTTTTTAAGTCAATAGGCAATAAGCATATGACGCGAAATTGGACCAAATTTTTTTTTAGTTTTCTTTATTGCTACGAAAACATACGTGTAAATAATTTTTTAAATATAATGTGATTTAATAGCGAAATTTAATCATTAAAAAGTGTTCTTTTTAAAATTCCCTCGCTTAGTTCTAAAACGCAACGCTATTGGTCGAAGTGACTTATATAATATGGCGTCGCTGAATTGTCAATACATTTTTCATATACGTTAGTTTATACAGAAATTCAGTCTTGAAGTATTTTACTGTAAACACGATGTCAAAACCAAAATAAATAAATAAAAAGAACCATTAATTACCACTTATACAAATGAGTATTATTATTATAAAAATGAATCGATTTTTGACTTTTGATAACTCGGAGAATCAATGAGATCCCTTGTTGTTTTTTTTACATCGAAGCGACATCTGAGCCAATGTGAATCATGAAATGAATGAAATATGACTCAAGTCAACACCGGTTGAGTTGTAGTCGCACGAAAATGATCGTAATTTTATTATATTATTTTTAGCTTAATGGTTGAATTTTTGCGAATATTTTTTTTTTCTGGTTACCTTATAACAAGTAGAATTGTTTAAAACAAGAAAAAAATGCATATTCCCTATTCGTACTCCAAGAAAATAAAAATATGACAGATGATAGTTAAAGGTGAGCGTACCTTCATTTTGCGGTGCACCTGGTCGAGCTGCGCGGGCTCGAGGCGCATGCGCTGCGCGATGCGCAGCAGCGAGGTGCAGCCGTCGGTGAGGGTGTCGCCCGCCACCGCGGGGTTGCCGCCCACGAAGTGCATCTGCACCGCCGCCGCGTCGTTCTTCAGCGCCAGCAGCCCCTGCCACAGCACTGGGTAGCGCTGCAATACCACATTAATGTACTTCACATATCTACTATGTTAATAAGTTCAAAAATATATATTTTTTATAAATTACATTAAACAATATTTTAATCTGAGTTGCGCAGCTATCTCTTGAGGAAGGTCACCAGCTGAGTTGTTTTGCTTTTCTCTTTTCTTTTTTTTTTAAGTTTTTTGGTATCTATGTAAGTTTATTTAATATTATGTAAGCCTTAAATATAGCCTTGTGTGTTTGTCTTGCTTCTCCTGTCCAACTGGGAGGAAATCGCTCTTGGCCATAAGGCTGCTCTTGCGAAAATCTAATATTAGTTAGTTAATTTAAGCAGTGTTGTAAATGTGCAAATAATACATATTTGTACTGTTATTAAAAGAAATGAAGTGGTCGCACGTTGCGGCACAATGTAGGTCATTGACTCACCCGGAGCAGCATCTGCAGCGAGTCCGCCTCGCGCGGCACCTGCGAGGCGTGCGGCGGGCCGGGCGCGGCGGGCGGCGGCAGCGCGGCGGGCAGGTGCGCGGCGGGCAGGTGTGCGCCGTGCCCGCCGTGCACCACGTGCGGCGCGTGCGTCCCGTGCGATGCATGCGTCCCATGAGCAGCGTGCGCTGCGTGCGCGGCAGGTGGTCGGCAATTTGGCTCGCACACTGCACGCGACACAACAAAATATTACATCACGTCTATCATATAATTAAATCATGAAAGCGAACTTCCAAAATTCATGTAAATATTAATCTTAAAGTAAATCTAATTTCGCCTCAACACGCTTAGGTAAACTTAGGTTATTTTTGCAATACTAACGAGTTTATCTATACTAATATTACAAAGAGAAAAGATTTGTATTTTTGTATCTATCCAAATAACTCAAAAACTACTGGGTTGATTTTAAAAATTGCTTCACCATCAGAAAGGTAATTTATCTGTGAGTAACATAGGATATTTTAATATTACTAATGTTTAGGAACTAATAACAAACAACATATTTCTGGACCACGGAGTTCACACAAAATCACTATTTTAAGTTTTCTCGGCTTACGATGCCTAAACTGTTAGAGGTGTATAAAATGATGTATGAAAGAATTGTAGATCTCAAAAAGTTCTACAGATAAGTCCGCGATAGCATATATCTATCTTTAACGTTTTTCTTACAATAACCTCTTTTTTGTTTACAAAATTAATTAAAAAACAGACGCCATTTGCGGCGTTCTTTTATTGGTTTCAATATTAATCCTTATCCAAGTAAATGCTTTTGTTATCAGGAGAATTTAATGTAGAATAAAATTGTCCTTTACAGTATTTAAATTGGACTAATACATAGTATAACCAAAAAATCAGCTTACAAGCTACCGGGGTTAGACATTTGGAATTTTGCATCGGTAGATTTATGTTATTACGTAGATTACTGCTAAGTTAATACTTTTGGTAATAGGTTGAAAATAAAGGGCGAACGTAAGTTTTGAACTTTCAAATTTCACGCGGACAAAAGCTAGTCTAAAATAAAGAAATAATGTTTTATTATTATGAGTATAGAAGAAAAGTACAGCGGGCAGGGTACTGACTGAGCAGGCGGTCTGCGGGCGCGGGCGAGTGCGCGGGCGAGTGCGAGGGGCGCGGCACGCGGGCCGACGGCGGCCGGCGCAGCTCCAGCGGCGGCGTGGGCGCCTCCGAGCCCTCCGCCTCCAGCGATCTGCACATACCACATTGACTTACACACAACAAATAAAATACCATTTATTGACCAAAAACAAATACACGTCTTATTTTATTATTCGCCAACATCTCCCTCTCCCTGCCCCACTCCTATGTAGGAGCCTGCAAGAAATTTTATGAGTGAAATAAATACTTTAATATTATTAATCCATTGGTAGTTATTTAAGGGAATAAATCTTGAATCGGCTTTAAAAGTAATAATATGATGTAATAAAAAAGTATTTAGCAAAGGGAGTAAATCTGAAATATCTAAATGACATATTGAAGTACAATATACATCTTATCTTGGTTAGCGCTCTAATGTTGTAAAGATAAAAATGATTAAGTCTATTGTGACTTACCTGGTATAGGGTGAAGGTGAAGCTCGACTTTCGTGCTGCGTGGCGCGGAAATGTTGTTGATACACCTGATAGTGTTGGTGCGAGAAGTGAGGATACATTCCGTCGCCCTATCGAATAATAAAACCTCTTTAATTTTTTTTTTCATTTAAACATTATCAGTTTCATTAACAACAGAATTTAATTACTTTGTGATATACCGAGGTAACGGGAGAAGTCTGTTGATGCGCGGGCGGAGGACTTCTCACTAAATCCGCAGACTAATCCGGGTAGCGTGAACAGAATTACAATTTTATAAAGACCTTATTCGTTTACATGCAATCATAAACTACAATAAAACGAGAATATTTAACATTATGAGATAAAAACCACTTACACGAGACATTTGGCTCTGTGGACTGATGGACGGCACGCTCGTAATGGTGACTCGAGCTGCTGGCACTAAACAAAGAAACATAAATTATAGACAAATTCGCAATAACGAACGTTTAATAAACAAATAAATATGTCTGCAAAAAGTATCTAATTCTGATCCCAGTCATACCGGTGTGATGTTGCTGGATGTGCTGGTGGTGCTGGTGATGTGGTTGGTGCGGGTGATGCGGGTGGTGCGGGTGCAGCGGGTGTTGCTGGGCCCCG